TAGTAGTAGTAGTAGTAGTAGTAGTAGTAGTACTAGTAGTAGTAGTAGTAGTAGTAGTAGTAGTAATAGTAGTAGAAGCAGTAATAGTAGTAGTAGTAGTAGTAGTAGTAGTAGTAGTAGTAGTAGTAATAGTGTAGTAGGAGTTGTAGTAGCAGTAGTCGTCGTAATAGTAGGGGTAGCAGAAGTAGGCGATGGCCAGGAAGAGGCCCACAGACTGGATGCTGCGTTGTTGGTGTACATTTAAACTCGACTGTTCTTAAGCATGGAAGTGCTGAAAAGCGCGCGTGTGTGGGTATGTGTAATGCTGCTCCTGCATGTGGACTTGCTGTGTAACTTATTTACGACTCGCAGACCGCGGGCCCACCAAGTGAAGCAATAAGATGGAGAGACCTCTCAGCCGGAAGCATTAGCAGGGTTTCGGGTTGGGGTTTAGGGCGGCGTAGCGCACCAGGAGCTGAACTTCTGAACTGATTCAAGTCTACAGTGTCTCAGACCTCAGAGCAAAATAAGCGCCTGAACCGATAACTGCAGCGCTTGGCTTGGCCAGAACTTGATACAGCTCCGCCTTGACCTCGCATTGATGCGGGACTGTTAATTGATTACCAGATTCCTAGAATAGAAGTGGCAACAGTGTATTACGGTACTACTGGGGAACACTGGTTTCGGGCTTTCATTTGGAATCGGACTCTTAGCACCTCATGCTTGGAAACTGTTCCTAAACTCAAAACCCTAACCTACCCTAAAACCTAAACCCTCAGCATCACCCCCAAACCCTAAACCCTAAACCCTAAAACCTACACCCCACAGCCTAAACCCCCGAACGCTGGAAGCGTCGAAGTTCTGGGGGCTAGAGTTTGGATCTGTGTCTCTGAAGCACGTACTCTACCTGGCGCCTGTTTCCCTAAACCCTAAACCCTCTTCTGTAATACCATATACCCTAAACCCTATTAAGGTTGTGATCCATAATACCTTACGTATGGGGTTGAAGAACCTAATAATAACATATGCTGCCAAAAACGAACCTACAAAACGGAACTACTAGCCTTACCCCAGTACATATAAGTCTTAGGTCCTCCGGACCCCAAACCGTAGGCATTCCTGTAGAATCCTTTCAATGCCCTCATAGTATAGAGCCCTCGTGGAACACCTCTAGCACCTTGAATTCTTAGGCTCGTGCCTTAGGGTATAGGGGCCTTAATTATTATGATCTAAGGTATATACCTGAACTTGGCGGTATTGGGTTCTCTGGTCCAGGTGGCCAAAGACATCCAGACCTAGACCCGAAAAGCCTTAAACCCTGAAGACCCTTACGTCCAGGGGCTTCCTGACCCAAAGGGTCCTACATACTGTCATGGGGGATGCTTCCCTAAAGCATACTAGCAATTCCTAATATAGAAACCCTACATTCTACCATAAAGGTACTTTGGACCCTTGGGGTGATGCATCCGAGGCACCAGGACATAGTCCAAGTGTTGCGCCAGCGCACGGGGGAAAGAGGGCTGAAGAACCTGGGGCTCGTGTTTTCCTCTTTTAAGGGCTTAGGGCTCAGACGGTTTAGGGTTTAGGGTTTAGAATTTAGGGTTAAGGGTTTAGGCTTCAGGGCTTAAAGGGTTAAGGGTTTAGGGGTTTAGGGTTTAAAGGATTTAGGGTGTAGAGGTTTAGGGCTTAGGGAACCCATTCGTTGCAGGAGTCGGCCTGCCATTGCGTCAGCCTGAGAAACTCCAGATACCCGAGCTAGTTAGGGTTTAGGGTTTAGGGTTTAGGGTTTAGGGTTTAGGGTTTAGGGTTTAGGGTTTAGGGTTTAGGGATCTTGGCCTTCCCTAATGTTATGGGGGATGCGGGCTTAGGTTTTAGGGTTTTGGGGCCTGACGATAGCTCAATGTATCCCTAAGGGTCCAAGTACCCAATAATCATATTCTCTCCCGAATAGTAACCTACATAACTACTATCCGAAACCTAAGTACCTGACTATTGGGTCCTTTGAACCCCATACCCTAGACCCCAAACCCTAAAGTCCCTTAAAGGACATGCTAAAGTCTCCTTCAACCTGCTACCCTAGCCCCATGCCCTAAACCGTAAACCGTTGCGTCTGAAGCCTCATAAGATGTAAACTAACCCTAAACCTGAAAAATCCCTCCTCCCCAAAACTCGACAAAACATGCTAAAACTATGCCACTGGAGGAGGCTGCTACAGGAATCGTCCTGATGTTGCATCAGAAACCACGGAGTGGTCTCCATCCCGGTCCCTCGCACTCGGAGGGCCTTCCTAAACCCTCAAACCTCGATAATATGGGGGGGGGGGGGGGGCCT